ATGCAAAAGGAGGGCTTGAGTCACTGAGAAGTAGTGACGAATGTCTGAACTCGCATCTCTAGATTTTCGGCTTCCCACCCTCCGCGCCCGCGCCCGTGGCAGCGACACTTTTAATGCCTTCGGCGTCACCTGTACCTCTTGAAGTCAGATGCAAAAGGAGGGCTTGAGTCACTGTTTAGAAGCTGTCGCACTGCAGTGACAGCAGGACATGACGGTGCAGATGCTGTCATGGCAAACTCCCTCCTTGGCTTGGGGGCAGAGGCTTCCTGTGGAGGTTCGGGACCACATGGAGGCCAGAAAAATTGCAGTCGGAAGTCCTTAAGCCTTCGTTCCTCTTCTGTTCTGTTCTGTTCTGTTCTGTTCTGTTCTGTTCTGTGTGGAGTGTTCGTGTCGCTCGGGAGGGGCGACGTGTCCCAACAATCATGCAGAAGTGAAACGAAAATGTGACGAAGAGGAGTGCCGAGGGCCTTCGACAGACCGTGAGGACAGGTGCTCTTCAACCTAAGCCAAGGTATTGGGCGACGGAGTGAAAGTAGGCACAGGGTGAGAGAGCAAAACATCATCCTCAGGGAGGTTTGCAGCAGGCCTCCGCTCGGACAATGTAGCGAGAGCAGGGCCTAAGGCCGTGGTCGCAGGTCCAGGGGCAGGGCGTTCACTAGCGTGCCGAAGCACTGGGGTACCAGCTATTTCTGCACCTGAGCCCTTTCGTTCTTTTTGGCTTCTCTTTCAGGCCGTCCAGCGTTGGGCCTGCGAAAAGTGCGCTTCGCCCGGCTGCTGCGAGCCGCAGCGGTGGCCCGGGCCCCGTGAAGATTGGGGTTTAGTTTAGGAGTCTTCTTGGGCTTGTGGCGTGGTGGGTGTGGGGGGGCAGGCTTTGGGGCTGGGCAAATGCCCCTTCAATGCGGGCCCTTTGATCCTGAGGTGCTGGTGGCTGCACGAGCGGCTGCCCCAGTTCGTGCTGGTGTTGATGCTGTTGGCGCCTGCCTAGATTGCAGGCGGCTGACCAAACTGGTTGATGAGACCGGCAAGCTTCCCGGGCTGCATTCAAGCCACTTCTGTTGGGCCGAGCATTACAAAGACTTGAATGCCTAGAAAATTTGACACATCATTCTAACAAAATAAATCCTAAATCGTAAATTGCAGTAACATTCGTGCCTGTGAGTGGGCACGAGGCCATTTTCGGAGTGCTGCAGCAGTGAGTGTGCACTTCATAGGGTTCAGAGATTCCCGCCTACTCGCGGTTTATCTTCAGGAAACTTTAGTTTCCATCCTTCGACACCACAGTCGCCACAATGCCGCAAGGCAGGTGAATCTCTACTACGACCTTCAAAATCGCAAGTATGAGAAGCTGCAGGCTGCCTCAGAAGCGGCGTCTCAGAGTACTCCTTGACCGCATACCCCGCAGGATGCCGCCTTTTTCTGGGGCTCGCCGATGTTGCTGCCTCCCTTCCTCGCCGCGCTGCGGATCCACGAGGTCTCTGCGTCTTTCTGCCTCGGCTTGGCCTTGGGCTTTGGGCACGTCGTCGGCCGAGGATGTGAGCCGCTTCCTGGCCTTCCTCTTCAGCCGCCACGCCTCCAGTCCCACGCTGCATCGCTGCCTGGACACCAAGTGCCTTGCATGCCTTTGGAGATCTTCAAAGGAGTTTGTGGGTCTCTGCTCTTTTCCTGCTTCCATGTCAGAGGTGGGGAGCTGTACTTCGTAGTGGCTACGTTACCATGGTGGAGAATCAAGAGGCCCGGTCCAACAACCTCGGCCTAAAGGAATCTAGAAACCTCACTCAGCAGAAACGGACAGGAGCTCAGCAAGCAAGTTGCCAAGGCTTTCGTCTGAGAAAAGTTGTCGCACCACTCGCATCCATGCGTTGTGAGCGGAAGATCTTCTGGGAAATTGGTGCCACGTCCCGTTTCACGAATTTTCGTCGGGGGGCCCGGCAGGAAAGAGGTCAGCTCGAAGTTATGGATGCTGCCTGACGAGCGGGGGTGTTCTGGCTGCAAGGCTGGATCACAACGAGCGAGCAGATGATGCCCGTGAGAGAAGGCGGGAGCACGAGCTGGCACACAGAAGCCTCATGCACGAGCACGAAGTCAGCTCAGGCTGGCAGCTGATCTTTAACGGATTCATCGGTATGAGAAGGACCCCTCCAGACCTCCAGAGTCACCCGACCTGGCTCTGCCTCTGCTTCTGATGTCAGGAGCCTTGGCTTCCTTCGCCTGACGCGACATCGTTTGGGTCTCTTGAGGCGCGAGGCGCTGCACGTGTCTGCTCCTGAGATGCAGTGAACAGAGCAGGCCTCAACACGTGGACTCTGACTCAGACCATTTGCTCCCCAAGGCAGGGGGCTGTGGGGCTCCTCTTCATGTCTCTTCGCTCTGTTGAAGAATTATGTCCAAATTCGTACAAGCTTTTCGGACTCGCAGGAGGGGGGCGAGTACGACACCTGGGAGCTGAGACGCAGCCTCTTCCAGGAGAGCTGTCGGGTAGCCCGCTTTGGCACGGGTCTGATAGTGGACACGGTTGAATCGTCAGGATGACAGGAAATTCACAGACAAGATGGTGCTGCGCTTCCTCATTCGCAAGGTTTTCGTTGCGGTGACGGGCTGAGGCCCGCAGGCGATGCTAGAAGTCGCCTGAGGTGGAAGCCTTGTCTTGAGGACGACACCGTTGGAGACTTCGGCGCTTTCAAGGCTGGTCATGGCTTGCCCTGCGTGTCTATGAATTCGGACCTCACGCCAGGGCTCATATGCTGCCTGGCTGAACGACACGGGTCTCGTCCAGGTGGGCTGCACGGGCTGTCTCTGCATCTTGGTGTCAGGGAACTTCAAAAATCGAGAGGTGATGGCCTACGATGGCATCGCCAATGCCATCGCCCTGGCAAGTGTCCGAGAACAGTTTCAAGCAGGTTTGCGCATCACGAGGTGACATCCGTGACGGGTGGCATAGTGCAACATCAAAATCTAGGCTGGAACAGCGATTGCAGCTTGGTGTCGGAGAGCATGCACATGTCGTTCGAAAGAAGTGCTCCCGCTGACCGGCATTGTGAGGACAGCCATTCGATCTTGGCAGACGCTTTGACTGGGTCATGTCTCTGGAGGCCTTTGGCGCAGCAACCTTCGCTTTCCAGTTCAGTTGCAAAGCCAGCACAGATTGGTGGAGTATAGATTTTTGTTCCGCCTCTCTCCCGCAACCCCAGAGACAGGTTGGAGAACACCTTCCCTCCACAGCGGCCTCCACCTTCTTGAGCAACATCCGGCGACATGCTGTCAAAGGCGGGGTGAGCTTTTGATCACAGATGCACGGATCCGATGATCCGTATGAAAGCGCTTGTTGCAGGTGCAGTCATTAGCTGGGGAACCCCTGACTTTCCATCGGTGCATCACCCGAATCTGCTCACGGAGGCTGCTGGTGTCGATATATACTCAGAGTAGCTGCAGGGTTGGTCGTGCTAGGAGGAGTCGACGCGCTTGATTGAACGCCACGGGTTCCAGCAACAGAAGGCAGGGAGCTCGGCTCGGCAAAGGCCCGTTGGCTCCCGGCCCCCCTCGGCTCGTCTCAGGACCTGACCCGGCAGCTGCGCTCTGCGGCCGAGCTGCGTGGCGCTCAGCGAGCCCCGCGCAGAACGCAAAGCTTCCCTCGCGTTTCTCCGCGGCCTTTCCGGGGTCCAATTGACCAAGCCTCCTTTGCCTGTCCGCTTCTCAGGGAGTGGCTGAAACAGACCATTGCGGTGTACCACACCAAAGACTGGTCAGATGACGAGCGCCAGAACTCGATTCCGAAGAAAATGAATGGTTGCTTCCGAGCGAACAGCGCAGAACTCGCCACTCCGAAGGGTGCGAGAGACAGCCTTTGTGAGGTCTTCGTCGAACCCGATGATCCTCAGCTGGCGTGACAGCCGGCAGGAGCAGTCCAGGCCTTCCGAGCGGGGGTTGCCCTGTCTGTTAGAAGCTGACCTGCCCCTGGATGCCAGTCTGCTTCAGAAGCTCTTCCAGTGGAAGTTGTCGCAGTGCTCCGGCGTGGTTCCACAAAGTGCTCGTTGACTCATTACCTCCGGGCCAGTTTTAGTCTCCGGGCCAAGGCTTAGCCAAGTCTCTACAGCTGAGTTGAATCCACCGGCACGGAGTTAGCCTCTGGGCACGTTGGAGCAGTCGGAAACTTCGCCCGGCGACCAAAAGCGGCCATGGAAAAGGAGGACAACGATCGGCCCCCCATGATGCTGTCGGGGTCAAGCAGTTCCTCCACCAAAGAATCAGAACCAGGCAAGCTGAAAAGTAAAGGTGTGGCGATGGTCGTTCCAAGGAGGACATCGAACACGTGTAACAACACTTCATTTAGTACTACTGCACAAGAGAGCGGATGGGAAATTGCAAGGCCAGGGAGTCTCCGTGGTATCCCGCAAAAAAGCGGTAACCCAGCGGAGTCTGCACAATAACAAATTAAACCTGTGGTTGTCAGGTACCCTTGCCGTGAGGTGATCGTGATCAACGGGGGAGCAGGCTTCAGTGCGGACCCCGGTTTACTTGGAGAAGCCGGGTCTCAAGGGGTCTGGTTTTCTCGTCTCGTGGGCAATCAAAGTAACACCGTTTCGACCTCTCGCTCTTCCTAAGCTTTCCCGCATATCAACTGAGATTTCGCGGAAGCCGTGCAAGGATGACGGTTTCACACCCTGCTCACTGCTTGCAAGAACGCCAAGCCACCGCCGAGTCATGAAATCTTTCGCTGGGATTCGCTTTAGAACACTTCCCCTGGCCCAGCTGCAGGCACGACGGGAGACCTGCGGGACAGTAGGCCAGCTGACCAAGTACGATTGTAGACCGCGTGAAATCTTCCGCATCCTTCAGTCCTTGAGGCTTGGCCTCTCCATTCCCGTCATCTTCGCCGGTGTGGCGCCAGTCTCAGTGGGTCGCCGAGTTCTTGGAGCTCCGCGAAGAGAGAGACGAAGGTGGAAGGCCAGACTTCCTGTCATGGCTGGCAACTCACCGGAGAAGTGCCTGGTGGACGCTTCAAGCACCCTACTTGCAAGGTTCCGCAAAACCTTGAACTTGCCGTGACCTCAAGCCGCAGGTACAGCTACCGCCAGCCGAGTCCCAACAAATGGGGCCTCCACTTTCTCGACATCGACCTCGGCACCTCGCAACGCCCAGCGGCGCTCGACTCGGCAGACTTTTGCGCAGAAGTGTGTTCATCCAAGCGACCCTCTTTGAGGTGGACATCTCGCTGGTTACCGGGCGACGGCCTCAGCTGGGCGAGCTTGGCTGAGACCGCAAAGCCGGGAGCGCCGTTTGGTCCCGAGGCCTCTTCCGCAGCCGCACGCGCCGCGCGCGGCACAGCGAGGGGTTGTCCATGAGAAAAACGAGCCTGCGCAGCAAGCCGAAAACGAATAGGATCGGCGGAGGCAGACGGCCCCCTAGGCCGTACTGCGGGCCCGGCCTGCAGAAAAGTGGGCAGGAGAACAGTATGTGAGTCGAGTTCTTTTGGGAGCGGTGCCCGACGAGCGCTCAGTGGGCTTGCTCCCGTGTACACACAAGGCAACCTGATGCCCCAAAGATTGGGGTGCCAGGTCTGCTCAGTTAACGAGCGGCTTGCGGCCAATGCTGTCGCGGCAACGAAGAAAAATGGTGAAGCATTGCAGTCTTGTGCCTCGCAGCATGTCGGTGGCCGGCAGCCTGATCCCCATGTAGTCCATCTGCTTCTGCGATATACCATTCTCGTGGCGACCTGAATCGAAGAGATACAGTGCTTGTAGTATCGTGATTTCCGCCACATGTTCAGCACATCTGCTACTCTCAGTGTGTTGGGAAGGCTGTTGCTGACTCACCCCATCGCTGAGTGCTAGCAAGGTGCAGAGCCCACCCCTGCCCACCCATGCAGCTTCACACGCAATGTTCTGCTCTGCTGGCTGTGCGCCACCGAAATGCTCCTCACTCAGGCAACCGCTCCCCGCCCATGCTCAGATTCGGATTTCCTGAGCACACATGGTCTGCAAAGACAGGCTTTGCCCTGGTTTCAAGATTCTAGAAAGATTCATGTCGAAGGTGAATGTCGATCTGGGTCACAATGGCATGCTGAAGTGTTTTGCTGTTGCTTTTTTCCTGGTTTCTGAGCAGGGAGCCCTTGCGCGGCCCGGCGGGCTGTTCTGTCACTCTGATGCACTGCTCTTGACAATGATCTTGCTGGGCTGTCTACTGGCTGTGTTCCGGCGATAGCCCAGGAAACCGCGCTCAGCGATTCTCTCCAGTCGATCCGGCTGCGACTGGAAGTGCCTCGGACAAGGGAACCATGGTTTGCTGTACGCTCACGCTCCAGATGATTTCCCCAGCACAGGCAGTAGCCTTCGGGCACCGGCACAAGCGTATTGACGTGCCAGCCCTTGTCGAAGAGGTGCCTTGCTGCTGTTCATGCCGTACTTTCATTCGCGGTCTATCAATCTTGTTTCGTGGAACTCCATTTTCCCTCCGTTAGCATTGGAAGTCGTGTGCACCACCAGCTCGTCTCTGGTATTTGGAGGTGTCCGGTCTAGATAGAGAAGCAGCCTCTCCTCGTCTGGGATATCGTTGTGTTGCGCACTCTGCCAGATTCGGAGAGCCACTGCATCCCTGGTTTGGTGCGAAACCAACGATGACTCCTTGTTCAGCCTCTTCTGCGAGCATTGCATGCTTCCAGGAGACTTGCTACACACTAAGAGCGATGCTGCACATTTTTGTCATCTTGATTTTGCACTTCTGGCAGCTGCGAGAGCTTGTTCGAATGCTGAGCAGCAAAAAGGAAAACACAGGAGCCACATCCCGAGACATGTCAAACAGTGGACCCGCAGGATTTGTTGCCGCACTTCGAGCAGAGGCCGTCCCTGTGGTTGTGCCTCGGTGAGAAGTCAGGCAGGATTTGCCTAGCGATCACCCATTGATCGCTAGGTTCAGGCCCAGAATGCCCAGTGCGTGGCGTGACGCTGCAGGGCAGAGCTGAGGTTAAGCTGCAGATCTTACAGTCCCTGTCTATATTGGTGCAGAATGCCCAGCGCGACTCCTGGTTGAATTGAGGGCTGGAGCATGTCGTGTTTGTGATAGCATGGGTTGACTTGACATCGTAGTGACGCTCGGTCACTCGGTTCAGTCAGGACACTTCTCTGATCTACTTGCTGTCCCAGGTTCGGGGCTTGCTCTTTTTCATGTTTGAAGGAGTGCCCTGCTGATTTATCAGTGTGTATTGCAACTCCTCCACATGGGGTGGGCGAAGTGCCTGGGTGAAAGGGCATGCTGAATGACTTCTTCGATGACCCGCCGGCTCATCCCTTAGACTCAGAGAACTGCTCCATTTTTTGTGTATCCCTGTTTCCCAGAATATGAATACATACATATGTACACATGTCACATATACATATATATATATATGTATATGCATATACATTTTTTTTATGATCCCGATTCTCGGTTCGCCCACCCCCTCCCCCCCAGGTCCAAATATGCCGAATCCCTGTGACTGTGCGTACTTCTCCCACATGACATGGCGGCTCCAAGCACACCCGATCCTTGTGACAATGGACACTTTCCAACCAGGATCCTGCCATGAGGGGTATTGAAAATGCAACTGCCACCAGGAGGCGTTCCTGTCGGGCCCGTTTCCTGTGGCAGTTGACCCAAGAAAGGAACATCATCACGATGATGATGATGATGATGAGGATGATGATGAGGATGCCGATGTGGATGACGATGACGATGATGATGATGACGACGATTTCGACACCCAGGGCGACCCGAACCGAGAACCACACCACACCACAGGGGGGCGGAGGGACTGAGAGCAGACCCAAATCCCGAACCACACCGCCAACTGGAAAAAGCACGAAGACTCGGTTCGTTTTTTTGTTCGTGTCGGGTATCGCATGTATCGGATATATGAATGTGCATTTCTCCTCGTAGTTGTCTCCTCTCTCTGCTTTTGTCTTTCTTGCGGTCTCTGTGTGTGTGTGTGTGCAATTCAATCGAGACTTTATTCTCGACATCTATGTCTGCTGGCTGTATTGCTTTTACCTTGGTGACCTCGGTGCTGCTGAAGAGCCACGCTGGGATGTACTTGCAGCCTGCACGATTGAGGACAGTATGGACGAAGAATCAATGGCCTACTTCGTCACACTTCTGAAGGCCCCGCAGCACTGCTATTGCCCAGAGCCCTCTGATGGCAACAGTATTGAGTATAGATGAAGTAGGATCGCAGGACCAAGAAAGGAGCCTCCATGATTAACTACATCCCGTGCTGACCCCAGGGCATCGCCCTGCGCCTCGACGGAGAGCTAGGGCTGCTGTGCCTTGCGACGTGCCGGAGCACCGAGAGCAAGAGCAGTGGAGGCCAGACTGAAGGCCATAGGACGGGACTCCGTGAATAAATTTCATCCCGTATCAGGGTACGTGGCCGATTCGGGCAGAAGAGAAGCTGCCTTGCGCATGCCGATCTTCGACAGCCCCTCGACTGCTCAAGTACGCGCATTTGAGGCTACGGAATCTGGAATGCCATTCTGAAGTCCAGGGGCTGTACAGCTGATCGACCATGCAGATCAGATGGTGCAGCCTCTTGGCAGCAGTGTCGTCTCTCGCAGGTCTTTTTGAATCGTGGTAGACGAGTGACTTGCGAAACCGGCCCAAAAGCCAAGAGAGCCGGTCACTTCTTGGTACCGTATCAGTTGCCAAAATCAGCGGGGCGCAGAGAGAGCTCTGGCTAGAGCTCTGCTCTGCTGAGGACCTCGGCTCGGAATGCCACGCTCCGAATGCTTAGCATCGACGCGCCGGCGGTGCGTGCCGCCATGGAGGGCACAGCAGCAGGCCGATGTGGGCAGTCCCGAGCCCGAGTCACCACACCAGTGCCTGCCGCAATGCGCGAGCTGACGCTCACCCGCTCTTAGAAGATAGAATGGCATAAAGGCCACATGCAGGAAGACTCGGGGGTCCTGGGAAGCCCGCACAGATATGATTCCACAGGTAGCAAGGAACCTGGATGGTAGCCAGAGCCTCTAGTGACCGCCTGGAACCCTCAGACACATCGCCGATTCCGGTCTCGGAATGCCAGGCATCTTGGCTCCCGAGCTGGCTGATGTGGCCTCGAGGCTGCGCGACGGCGTCAGCTTCAGCGACGGGCTCAAGTTGGACGATGCGAAGGCACCGTTCTGAGCCCTCCTGTGTGCTTGGCCTCTCTTGGCATGTTCCTCCTGCAGGCCCAGCCGGCGGCTCTCACCTCCTTGCTCGACTTCGTCGGTGACCTGCTTTTCTTAGGCGCGTCTTTCAGCATGCGAGCGAGCCACTCCGAATCTGTACTAGTTTCGGCATGTTTCTCCAGCTGCAGAGGCATCCCGCCACTTACTGCTGCGATCGAACGCGAAGGCAGTGCATGAGCTTGGAAGATGATCCAGGGGACTCAGAAAGGGACCGTTCTCCGCAACGCTGCCTCAGCCTGGGAGGGGTTACCACCACGCCCCAACTCCATTGCCTAAGGGGGGAAGGGTCCGGGAGGGGACATGCCACGAGGTCATTTGCGGGAAAGGGGTGCTGGTGGTGGTGGTGGCGCCGGTGGTTGCATTTCTGACTTAAAAGAGCGCCATTTGAAGCAAATCTTCCACGGAAAGTGTCGCCATGTGTATCTGCTTCTAGAACTGCCAGCCTTCTGCTAACCAGAGACAGGCTTCTCGGCGGAAGGCGGCCGTGCGGCCTGGCAAGGGCCGCTGATGTTACTTCATCAGGCGCAAGTTCCGACGATTATTTGGGGGTTTGCGGCCTTGGCAAGCGCACAACTTGCAACTTGCTTTGTGACCGAAAGCTAAGTGGATTCCCTTGCTTTTCACGCTTGCGAATGCTACATCAGTGGATGTGCTTGTCGCAGGCCGAGAATCATCCTGCCGTCCGTGTTTTTGAGAAGCCTGTGGAGGCCCTGGGACGAACAAAACACGGGGGACATTGGCCTTTGGAGCGTATCACTTGGTCGGTAGATTGGCGCAAAAGTGCAATGACAGCGAAGTCGTATCCGACGGCACCATGACGCAGTCAAAGCTTCAAAAACTTGCATGAGCGTTCGCGAGTTGTCTTTCCCAGGGGGCAACCGTGATTGCCGAGATAGCAAACGGCTCATTGCTACATGCCCTCGCATCTTGGTTTGAACTGTGCGCCTCCAGTGCGGCGCGTTTCGAGGCATGTCTTCAGAGCAGAGCTTTCAAGGCCGTGAGTGGCAACTTCGTGAGCATCTGTTGGAAAGGCATCGACGGATGGATTGGTCGGAAGAGCCTTAGCCAACAGCCATCCACAGCCTTGCTCCCATGCGTTTCAATAGGACAAGGAAGCCTGAGCCTTGGTGATCCCCAGGAATGCTCGACGTGCCACCAGGCGAACGTACTGACATGTACTGACTGATGACATTGGGGTTGACATGCTTGCAGAGGTTCTCTGCTCTGCCCGTCCAGGCCCATTCTGCTGACTAAACTGTGAGCGATGTTGGAATCACGGAGCCACCTGCAATCGAACGAGATCAAGGGCTTTCTAGCAAACGATAGCCAGAGCGAGAGACGCAAACGCCTCCAGAGAGGGTGTGTAGAGCCGTTCTCCAGAGGTCCAGGACCTTGCGCAGGCTCCTGCAAAGCAGGTCGCGCAGGCTCAAGGTCTCGAGCTGGTGAACTTTGGTGTTTGCTCTTGCGATGTGGGTCAAGCTTTCTGCGCCTGCAGCTTCTGTGCAGCCACGTTCCTCTGCCAATTAGCCTTAATGTGAACGTCTTTTGCCCGAAGAAGCAGCCCGTGTTGCCTGGAGCTGCATGGCGCGTTGCTTTGTGTGACCTTATCCGTCGCCAGTTCAGAGGCAAAAAGGTGTCGTATGCAATTCAGACATGCAGCAAGACTTCCATATGTTCTGCCACTTTGGAACGCAATGCCGTTCAAATGTAATCCCCTAAAGTCACCCCGACAGCGCGGCCCCGCACATCGAACGTTGTGTTTCTCAAGGAGCCGCAAGTAGCTCTGTGGCCTCAGGTGGCCTCAGAGCCAGGGCGGAGCCATGGCAGCTCTCTTCGAAATTTGCAAGTGTTGCCTTGGTCGTCAGAAGGAAGCTAGACAAGTCGAGTACCGCGGAAGGGACGGTGACCTGGCGGAGGAGAGCGGCGGAGGTAAGCTCGGAGGAGATTGCGCAGTCGGCTCAGACGGCTACGATGTGGAGACCCGCAGCCTCGAGGCTGGTCCAGGGCCTAGGGGGCCTAGGGGGCCTAGGGTCCAGGGAGCGGCTCAGTGCCCCTGCAGGACTTGGCCAGATCTCCACATGATGCAGCAAGGCCGGGCAGGCAAAGTCAAAGCTTAAAGCCGCTTAGGGCGCTGTCTCCCTGAACATCAAGCCCTTTGCAATGAACTGCTGCTTTATGAGTCATGCTCTTATCGTGATTTCCGGGTTCTCGGTGTGCAAGAACCTGCTTCCCAATGTAGTTGCGCTCACAGCCCAGCATGGCAGGTGGAGACAGGATTTTCAAAGCGCCGGCGATGGCAAGAAGAATCCCAACATGTGCCGCATCCGTGGGCTGCGGCAACTGGTTTGGCATCCTGCCTGCCAAGGTCATAGTGTCATGGGGACCCTTCAAGGAGGGGTAGGGGGGAGGGGTGTAGGGACCTTAATAGCAGTAACAAGGACCTGATAAGGCCTAAGGAAGTAGAGTCCCCTCGGGTCCCTATGACAAGGGCAGGCCATAAGAACGGATACGCTCAGTGTGAGCGTGGACAGCTAAGGCTGCAGACCGAGAAGGAATTGATCAGGCTGGAGAAAGAGGAGCCGCAGAAGCTGGGACAAGTGGGCACGATTCCCTTTGAGGTGCAAGGGGTCTCCGTTGCGACAAAGGCGTTTTTCTTGTTGGAGGGAGTCAGGCTTGCTGAAAGGTTTCTCGCTCGCAATGTCGGTCAAGAAAAGTAGCTCCTCTGGAGCTTGTGGGAGTTGTTGTATACAAGTTTGGTTTTGGTAGAAGAACACCTTAGGGCGCCTTGGCTCCTGATATACCAGAGATCTAAGCATCAGCAGGGGGGAAAGGGCGACCCCCACCTTAAGTCTGCTTTTTCGATAAGGCCCCATCCAAAAGGAGACATCCACGAACTTCGAATTCAGGATAGTGCATGCAACCATTAACTTGGACAACAGTGTTGTGTGCAACTTCGCAGAGCTACCTTTCGTCCTCTCTGCTCTCAGATCCAACGGTAAAGACCTGCCTGGTGCGGATGGCTGCATTGCTCGACTCGCAATGCTAAGGAGTCCACCTTTCGGATTGCGAGGGCGGACTGTCAGGATAGGTTGGGTCACATCAGTGCTGCATCCCGTGACAGGTGAGAGACTGCTCGCAGGCAGACGGCCAAGAGGAATTACAAATCACGAAGGTGCTTGGTCCAGAATGCCACTGCATTGCAAAGTCATGGTGAATGAATGGCCGATACGAATGGCTTCCTTTGTTTCGTACTAAATTCGTAAGGCTTCCACGATGAACTTCAGCCAGCCTTGGGATGTGATGAAGCAGCAGTTTGCAAGTCGCAGTCCCGTCTCGGTCAGCTTGTCTAGGCAGTTAGGATCGAATCTTGGGAGGTAGAAGTCATGGAGTGCGACATGCTTGACAAAGCTGGAGATTTTGCCAAGCAGCGGCTTGTCTGGCATTCTTGGGTGCTACCTCCGGTTGAAGGCTCGGTTGGCGATGTTTATGCTCGCCATGTTGTATGGAGTGTATCCCTCCACGGACCAGTTTGTCTCAGCGTCGCCCGCCCAGGGGCTGCACCGTGGCAGTGCTGAACATGGCCTCCTCGTCCTCGCCGGGGGGAGGCTTCCGCTTTGGTGCCGGCGCACAGGACTTCTGGGTCCCAGGTGCTTTCTTGGAGGTCATTGAAGTAGTTCGCAGGTTTTGGTCTTGCGCGATGTCGTTGAGGTTGGGTCTGAATGCTCAGAAACATAAGGCAGTTGCCGTCGATGGACTTACGATCTTGCCAACGTTGTCTTTTCATAATTCCGTGGGCGTTTTTCCACTCGTAGGCTATGCGCATCATAAACCGGTAAATGTTGAGAACAGCCGCAGCTGGCGTGCTAGGAGGAGAATATGTATCGCAGAAGCGACCTCTACCGCTTCCTTGAGCCATACAAGGGAAGTGCCCTGGCAGCTAAAGGCGGCTAATCCCAACCGCTGTATCTTTGCTAAAAAAACCTGCTGCGGAATGCAAGAGTACTCTGTGTACTCATGCTCTCTGGAGCGAGCCATGATCAATGCTGTTGAGCCTAATTGCGTGAGCACGAGACTCATGCACCGCTCAATGGAGAGGGAGGAGCCCCCGCTCTCAGATGGTTCTGATTCTGATGTTGGTAGAACCGAAGAACCTGCCGAAGCCGGACTTTCGTCATGAAATGATGACCAAAGTGCACAGGCCAACAACTCGCTGTGCTTCACAACTGAGCCATTCTGGCAAATTACTTGCTGGTTTTAAGAATTAATGGCTTGCGCTGCAATGTCCAATTGCACGCGAGTCAGCCAGCTTTTGGAAAGACTTCTAGGTAATTTTGCTCTAGGTAATCTTGCTGACCAGGGCCGGGTTGTACCGAGATTCCAACATACAGCTTTATCTGGTGTGTGACCACAGTGTTGAGGCTTGAGTCCTTCCGAGGTTTAAATGTGTTGGATGGCTCAGGCTTTCTCCTAGAGTAGGGTTCGCCATTACAGAGGCAAATAAGGACGAGGCTTGGTCTTGAATCGAAAATACCACACGAGCACGGCTACAGTAGGCCTGCCATGTCATCAGTATTTTCTCTTTGTGCTGATAGCCTCGTTGCCAAGGCTTGTACCCGATAAAACCAGATGCATGTGTCTTGTCGGCACCTGCTGCAGGAGTGAAGTATGCCAGACTTGCTGAAGGTAGCTTTCACAGTTGAACTCCGAGGCCAAAGTTCAACTGAGCAGTGGTTTGCATAATCGAATCACACATCAAGAGCAAACGCTGCAGACTTGGAGTTGCAGGTGGAAGTGGACATGTTCCTGGTGCCCCAACCCTTACACCCCTATGTGAAAGCCACCCGAGGCTTGTTGTCCACGAACGTCACCATCCTCCGTGGCCCTGAAAAGGAAGGGTATCCATTTCTGGAGTCTTGTCTTCACTTCGTGGCATAGACAGTTGGTGAGAAAATCGAATGTTCTTCTTGAGTTCTTACAGCTGGAAACCATCTACTTCTGTTGCAAGAAACTTAGACAATGCCACGGGCACAAGGGTCTCGGCCTTTCCGGGTGCGCGGTTTTCTTTGTGGCTCCGCAGTTTCTGAAGGCATTGATGTGGCGTGGCGATCAAGTAAGACGGGGTCCGCAAGCTGGAGCTGTGTTTGTCAGTGTTGTTTTGAGGTTCCATCCTTCGAAGCCACGATCATCACGTGCGCTGCGCTGCGCAGCCCTGCACTCACCACGGATCGCAAGCAATCCGGCAGAACGAATTCCTTGGCAGTGCCTAGCAGCATATGTCGGAAGCAGTTGGAGACCGGCAGAACACTTCGGGCTCCACCCTTGTCGGAGCGGCATGTGGGGAGAAGGCGTGCGGCAGCGCCGGATTGGTAATTTCCGCCAGTTTTAGAGTGCGAATTGTGTGCCCGAAGGCCAGAGGATGACCATTGCATGCTGCGTTCCAAGGTATAAGTACGCAGAGGATGAGGAGTCCATGCGGCAGAAGGCCATACACGGAAAGTTAATGAAACATGACCTGGCCTTCTTTAGGTACCCCGCAACCCTCCCTCCTTTAGGCTCCTTGATTGTAGACATGCTTAAATGAAACATGCATGCATGCATACATACATGATGCATAATTCGCGTCGATGCTTGCTTTAGTTTGTAAAAGGCTTTCGGGACACCTGTGCTCTGGCTACGTCTCTGTGCTTCGCAAATTCTGGTGAGAACCGAAAGGAACAACAAACATACACACGGAGAATGCACAACAAGACAGACGGGCACAGAACCTGCCTTTGCTTACTATACCATCTTAGCTTACGTTCGTGACTGTCAGATCTGATTTCCAGAGAGTTCCTGCTCCAACTTTCGTGGCCCCCTTCTCAAGTGGAACACACCTAAACCACATAAATCCTAAACCCTTAAGCATCCTTAAACCCTAAACCCTTGTAGAACCCTAAACCGTCTATGGGCAAACCTCGCAGGTGCGCGTCATCCTGAGGGGTGCCGAGAAAGCCGGCTGCGACGCCTGTGTCCTCTCAGCCTTCGGCTGCGGTGCCTTCGGAAATCCACCAGAGGCCCTCAACCCTAAACCCTAAACTTGAATTCTGCGCACTTTGCAGTTGTCAGCAACAAGACCAATTCACATGAAAATAGCGGGCTCGAGGAGGGAGCGAGCTCCGACCGCCAGGAGGTCGCTCGATTGTTCCACGAGGAGATCGCAACGGTGAAGCTGCAAAAGGCAGACGTCCCCTCTTGACGAAACTACTGTCACACTACCGAAACTATAGCTCTGCCGTTTGCACCTGATCAGTACTGTTCTCTGTCAGTACTGCTGGCATTGGGCGCCGGCCAATGTTGTTCTTGTTTACAGTGTGCTGCCGTCGTTGGTAGGATTTTACACAGATTATACATTGACAGGTTTCGCATAGTGTGACGTGCACTCTGACTTGAACTACCGGTGTTGCGACTTGACACTTCTGTTGATCTTTTAGCAGCTAGTGACTGCTTCTATCGCAAACGGTCGTGACATTGTCACATTGCCAGCGTAGGTGCTGTTTTCATGATTGTCACTACTTTTCTTCTGCATCTTGTTTCTGCACAGCAGGTACGAGTAGATTCGCCACGATCCCCATCATCCTAAGCCTGATTCAGACCCCGGGCACGCCTGCGCCCCCCATGCGTGTTCATGCAGCAAAGGAACCATGAGTGGAATTCGGGTCACTTCTCAACCGCATTTACTCGCATTTGGAAGATGCTGGAGCTGCCGTCTTTCTGAACTAGAGACGCATGAAACCTCTTTCGTATCATGACGAAATCGACTTGTGCTACCAGCCGTTTTTTCTGCCTAACAGTGCGAATCTGCCACAGTAAGACCTCTGAGAGTATTTTTTGATGCTACCGAGCTGCATGGCCAATGGTGTTCTTGCTACTTGTTGTCCCCCTGGACTGCTTGTTCCGCTTGTCCGGCCTTGAGCTGAAGTAGGTGTGTTTTTGCATCTTCAACGATCACAATGCTGGCCGAGCGCATAACCCTCAAGGATACTCATCCGCAGGAAGATGGAATGCCTGAAGGCTCTCGTGCAAGTTACACTTGCAGTGTATTCAGTGGCTTCATGAGAGCCTGAGGCAACTACTTCCCCTTCAAGAAAGCTTTTGAACACGATGCGGGCAATGCCACCGGCTGCGGCAGTTGAAAATCGTGGTGATGCTTCATGTTGATGCCGGGTGCAGCGAAAAACGCTGCAGCCGAATCAGTGTGATTCGACATTCGGCCGGCACTTCCAACAGCCAGCACAGGTGTGTTCGCCTCGCACTGCCAGTCTGGCTTCCAGGTGCTGCAGCACACCAACATTGCAGGGAACAAGCACAAAGCAGAACGAACAACTAACACATGCGCCTGATCATCCCTCGGTTTGATACTGGCTGTCAAGACTTGTGCATGTCAGTGCGGGGCCTTTTGCTCGTGGCCTTGGCTGAACTTCGAGCATCAGGCGTGGCAGAAGGGCACAGGACGGCCGCAATTTCAGAGTGGGAATCGCTGCTGTCTTGAGAATTAGGACATGGGTTTGTGCTGCTGCCACGCATTCCACCGTGTCGCAGAAGGTGGCCAGCACCGAACCTGCAGAGAGCATCTTGAAATCTCGCGCAGGTGCTTTCGCTGACTGTGCTGTGGGAGATCTTGTGGCCTTGATGCAGGCTCATGCCGGCCCTAGAGAATTTCATGATGAAAGCCATGCCGCACCTGGACTGCGGGATGCTGCCGGAAAGTGCTGTTCGCGTGGAATCAAGGTTTGGGCACCCACCGATGGATGGAAGCGGGGTCGCGTTCTACGGCGGGCGCCTGGTGAGATACAAGTACAGTGGATGGAGGCGTATCAACTGTGACACAACTTGGCTTTCCTGTTGTCAGCTCCCCCAAAGGCATCACCCCCTTCCATGGGAGCGAGGTCTGACGTCAGCTGCCTGAAATCGTGGTTGCCCCTTATGATGCTCACCTCACAGCACTGCAATTTCAGGGCCGAGCTTCGAGCATAGTCAGCACGAGGCAGGTCAGAAAACAGGGGCGGCAAGACGAGAGAACTCGATTGATACAGACAATATTCTTAGAACTCTCCAGCCGGGATCCACCATTTCCTCCCAACCCTTGCCTTGAGATGCTGCGTCGGAGGTTTAACGAGACGGTAAAACAACAGCCCCTTTGTGGCTCCCCCTTTGTTGCGATTCTGCCGGGCATCCCACGAGGCACCGTTTGCAGGGAGCAATACGACCTTGCCGCCCCTGGAGCTCAGGCCACGAAGATATTCTGTTGAGACTCTTCCTGTGGGTTTTATCATGCTGCAATGCGAGAGGGTGCAGTAGCCAGCCTTCCATTACCCTTCCTGGAAAAGATGTACGAAGTTGGATGTTAAGTTGGGATAAGCATCGTACCCTATTGAACAAACAGCGAAGCGCGCAAAACTGTCTTCTTACCTTTTTAATTGAGCTTGTGACTCGAGCAACCACGACCAGTTCTCAACAAATCTGAACATTGTAGCTTTTCTGTCGCTCGCTATCTTTGGCGGAGTACCCTCAATCCCCTGATGCACCTGACCTGAATGGAATCCCGCAATGCTCAGAAGGGTGGGCTTGGGCAGCCCAACTTGAGAGCCAAGGTGGATCGGGGGCGCGAAAACACGCCAGATTTCATTCGAGCCAGTGATTTATTTGGCACAGACTAAAGGACGCGGAGATACTGTGGCAACGGACAGCCGTTGTCTACAGGTTCAGGACCGTGCTGGTCAGGGCGTTGCCAGTGGGGCAGTCCTGGATAGTAAGGAGCAAGCAATCAAGACAGACGTGTGGCAGTCGCAATGAATACTACGCAGATGCTGAGGGACCAGGCATCTGCATTGCACCAGTTCGAGACTTTTGGAAGGTTTTAGAAACGTTTGCACATGCCAGGCAAAATGGGCAGCCCTCTGAAAGATTCAGCTGCAGTGTTGAAACATGTCATTCTTGTATGCCGGTTGAACTTCTGCTGCAAAGGACAGAGGGTGACCTCAACGGAACTAGCAATGAACAGTTGCATAACCCAGCCAGAGCCGGCTTGAACCAGTGAAGTAAACGGCTGACAACCATTTTCGATGCCCAAACCGGACGAAATCCAAGAAGAGGCTCGCCATGTTTGAATGATGGTGTCATGCCACGAGGGTAAGCTAGTTCAATCTGGAATTCGCACCTTTGTATCGTTTTTCTAAACGCTCACAGAGCAGCAGTGGTGCTCCCACCTCAATCGCAAAGGAGTCCGGCCAAAGGGTCGAAAGATCAAAGGGCTTAAGTAGATGTACTTTGGAGCCTTGGACAGGGCGCGCTTCGGCGGCCTTTGTGCGCGGGCGGCTCTCTGCCTCTTTGGCCGAGTCGGGAACCTTCGAGGAAAGTTCGACGAGGAGCACAGGGGCAGACACAGACGCAAGCGGATGCAAGCGGACTCGCAAGCGGATGCAGATGCCGGCATTTGCCTTCTCGGCTTTGCGGGAACCCCCCGAGGCTCAAACCCCAAAACTTGCTCGTCAGGAGGGTTCCACAGAGGAGGCGCTGGAGATCGCTGCTGCCTCCGTTTGGGAACACGTGGCATCTTGCAGTCATAGCTCGTTTTTGCAACAAGTTGGGGCAGTTGCATGTTTCGAAGCCATGGATGAAGGCAGCAGTCTTCCAGTTCGGTAGAAATCTTGGAGTTAAATGCGCTTCGTCTGCACGCCTTCCTTAAAGCTGCTCAGGTGCGGGCAAATGCCGACCTGCGCTGGGACGTGTTCGCACATACGTGGGACGAGGATCTGGCGTCAGCGACCCTTGGTTTGGATTTAGGGCAGTGAGGCCTGTCTGTCTCGTCGTTTGCAGCATGTTGCCTGAGGATCCATCAAGCCTACATGTGGACTCCTCAGTCACAGTTTTTGGTCCTGGGAAACTTTCGTTCCATTGCCGCCAGTCATCAAGCAGACATGAGAGATGCTCGCACCAAATCAGTCTGCAAATGCTCCTGTTGCTCCGGCGGCGACGTCTTCACACGCTAGGGTTCAAGCACATGAATAGCACTAAGGCCGGTGGCCTTAAAAGCTGATCCGCAGCCGGAGCATCTGCCCACGGTGCCTCAGCGATTCGTGTTTCGACGTGTAATTCGATGCACTGCCGCAGACAGGAAGGTCTTGAAGAGCGAAGCAAAGACGAGATTCTGACCTTTGGTCGATCTCTCAAGCAATCCCATGGATGTGTCGAAGAGCCCCCATGCCTAGAGATATCAGGTAGAAAGCTTCGGTGAGACTTTTCGGCGCAGTGTGGAGCTGAAGAGCATCAAGGCCGGGCAATGAATGGCAAAAGCAAGGAAAGAGCTGAGACTTTGTATGCTCCGTAGGTGTAATCTGTTTGACAGACTTTCGCCGTGTCCGCCTTGCAGGAGGCAGAGGAGGGATTTCGCTACGACCTTGTCGTTCTCATGCGGTATGACGTCCTGTTCAGGCTTGCGGAGTCGTTTAGGGAGCCCAATTGAGCTCGCTGGCTGTGTCAGGTCTCCGCTGCGTTTGAGGCCTGCAGTTGGCTCATCGGCCCTCTGGACTGGGTACTGGTGCTCCATCCACGCGGAAGACCTCGCAGTGCGCGAGGTGGCAGCTCGGCCCGACGTGAGTCTCAATCAAGTTCGCAATCTTTGTCGTGGCTGGCCAAGGTCTTGACCCATCACCGCAGCGTCAGCGATGTCCGCTACAAAACATCTGGTGTTTATGCGCCATCGCAATTTGCAACGGTAGGACTGGGCGTTGAACTGCTGACTGTTTGCCGTGCAGTCGCTTACACACGTAATTCCTACGCGCCAACTGCTGTTGTGTAAATGTATTGTTGCTGGGATTGCGTATTCAGCGCAATGAGAACCAGGACTTCACGACTTTTGGTTCGCAGCCTCCTCACGAAGCATGGATGTCTTCGCCTCCTGGGGCTCCGCAGTGCCCGCACTGCGCGCGCACTTCGGCCTTGTGTCTGCTGATCTGCCTGCTTCTGGGCTGCAGCATGTAGGTATATGTAGGTGTTCTGTTGCAGCGGCCGCTGCCAGTCGGAGGCGCGAACAGCATCCATGTGCCACACACTCACTTTGCTCGGGCTCTTACTTTAGCCACTCCAAGCTGTTATGTCACGTGGCAGTGTGCAATACCAGAGCCCCAATGTCACCGGCAGCTTTGCCTAGGTGGTGATGCCTGAAAGTACATTTGGATTGTCGCATCACCTTATTACATCAAAGTGGTGCGGGTTGAGGACGGCCTAAGTGCATCGACGGAACTAAACATCGACGGAACTAGACATTGCTGGTGAGGAACATGGAAGCTATAGGTCGTCAGGATGTTCGTAGGGAGTGTCAGTCTGTGCCTGAATGTCGACATTGGTATGTTTGCGAAATTGACAAGCGAGCCTGAGCGCTTCTGAAGCCGCGAAAAGACACATGCATTGCAGAAGGAACTGGACATGACGGTATGCAAACATGGAGAGATAGTTGTGTTTTTGGGAGCATCGCGCTTGGTTGAAATACTGTAGTGCTCAGCCATAGATGCCAGGGCTCTGAATTTGTTTTCATTTTTTGAGCATCGGAGTGTTCGAGGGTTTTTGCAGGATTCTTCTTCAGGTAGTATGAACGCTACAGGTCAGCATCAGACCTTGGTTCCGGTCATCCCATGCAGAATCCTTTCTAGTATGTCTCTAGTATGAAGCATGCAAGTCAACACCGAAGCCTGGCCGTTACTCTTCTCATCAAGCGATCACAATCCATATCAATCCACATCGTACCCTCATTGCATCTGTCCCTAGATTTCTGTATACATGCCAGATTCTGGGTTGATCAGGCATACCTTCCCTGAGTAAGACTCTTTGCTACCATCCTCCATGTTTATCCCAATGTAGGCCTCATAAATCTATATCCCTACTGCTTGGATAGTTCTCCCAAGATCTGAAACATATTGCAATAGCCTTCCTGCTCATAGGAAGAGTATGTCGTGGTGATGAAGCTTACAAAGGTTCTTATGTCGTGCATATTTTCATAGTCCGTGCGACTTCTTTGTAGCATCCACGATCTTTATGAAGCAGTCCGAGAAATAGCAAGCATTTTGTGCCAATCTCTCTTGCCCATACGATTTGTTGACTATGAAGCTCGTTTGCAGTTGCCCTCATCAGTGGGACTGTAACCTACTTTAACCACGGCACGGGTTTCAGCAAATGTGCAACTTCGTTCCTTGTTTTGTTCGACTTGTAGCGGTCATCTCAACCCTACTACCATCCTCCGTGTATGTTACAGCGTGGTCCACGCATTCACATCCGTTCATTAGACAGGCAGACTGGCTGAACTACATGTTGTGCGAACATAGATATTCACCGTATTGGCGTTGTCTGCTGAGAGTACGCCAGCGACGGCACTGCCCTTACAAGTCAGAACTAGATATGAAGTTTATAAGCCAACATGTTATTCGGACTAATGCTGAGCTCCTGTACCATGTTTGGTTGCTTGTATGAGTCGCATTGTAGATATACCATCTTGCTTAGACGTGCAAATGTGCTGCTAAGAGAGAAGCGCTTTGCCCAGATGCACAATTTAGAAAGGTGACGTGATCGGAAACAGCAATATGATATGACTATGGTTCATAGAACACAGAATACAGCGCAACAGCGCCAGGACGTTTAGCTACTGCAGCAGCAAACTTGCAAGACTTTCCAGAATTTCCAGCTGGTACATAAGTTGTTTTTTTGGATTTTTTGGGGCGGATATGACCTAGATTTGTAGAAATGTCACACCTGGACATGTGGCAGGACGGTTTGTATGTACATGGAGATCGGCACTAGCATGGTGTTTTCGGTGTTTTCGGGTATTTGAGCCGTGTACAGGTGTACGGCAAAAAATTGTAAAGTCTTGTGGAGCAGGTGGTGGCGGATCGAGGTGGCTTGCCACACATACATCTATACATAAAGAACAGATATGTAGATGCCGGGTGTGCATGTGTTTCGAAAATTATGTATATACATATATACACGTACATCCTGTTTTCTCATCGGTTAGGCCTAGGCACACTGTTTATGAATTTACAAAGCAGCTGCCATTCTGCTCGTAAGGATTAGTGTTAAACGTCTCGATCAAGCGCAGAGCTTTGTCATTTGTACAGCGACAGAGAGAAGGATGGATGGATAAACAGATGGTTCGATGGACTCGGCAGCACGCACTTGCGCACACTCGCACACCCGCTAATTTCCGAGTTGTGGTGAGACGTGGTTTTGCTTTGCTTCACGAGTGCCATCTCAGGTGGATGTGGGGCATTTCTATACCTTCTTGCATGCGAAGTCTTTGGGGCTCCCGTTGGAGTTCACAGGACCGCAGCCGAATGAGCTCCCGCAGACACGGTCAGAGGGTTCAGTTCTGGCCTGAAGCCATAATTAGAATCTTCAGCGAGGCATCAGTTACGTCGACTTCACGCTCGTGCGATACCGCGACTGCAAGCTTCTGGTCGGTTGTTGCCTCAGCCTCCTCGGCCTTGATTGCAGTTGTTGCTCGAACCTTGAGCACAGGAGAGCAGATCCAGGACCCAGACCAATACTGCAGCCACTGGGAGATCAGTATAGCAAGGCCCGCAAAAGGGAACGGCGAAGGGCGTGGGGGGAAGGGGTGAGCGCACGAAGTGGTCAGTGCCTTGTCGCTGATGATGAAAATCAGGAGGATGTCGATAATCCTCATGATGATGGTGATATAGATGCTGTTGTTGAGGATGATGATGATGATGTTGTTGATGATGATGATGATGCGACGGTGATGATGTTTGTGGTGGTGATGCTGCTGGTGATGATGCTGTTGATGCAGATGAGGGGGGATGCCGATGTTGCGGATGCTGATCACAATGGTAACGGTGATAGTACTCATCACGTGTATGATGATGATGATGATGGTGATGATGATGACGATGATGATGATGACGATTATGATGTTGATGATTGTGGATTTCCGATATTTGTTGTGTCTTGCACCATCTTGCAGCCAGGCAGTGCTCGTCCTGGCTGCCGCAGCCGCGGGGTTGGGCCATGCAGTACTGCACCTGAGCTTCAAGTCACTGTGGCCCTGCTCTCGTTTTGAGCTCGATAGCCGGCCCAAACTGTCCTTTTGATTTTGCGCTTCTCGCGCGACAGAGCATCCTGTAGACCCTTCAGGCCCGCTGGCCGGGAAGCGCGCAGAACTCGCGCCTTTTGGCAGCGGATGCGGTCGCTTCTGAGACGACCAAGAGCATTCATGTCTTCGGGTTGGTTCGGCAGTCGCATCAGCTGGACTTCAACAGCGAATCGGCTGCCTGGCGGTTCCTTCGAGTGCCGAAAGGAACGTGTGCTTGCTTCGCTTGACCTAGGACATAGTGCAAATATGTGCGCACGATACTGGTGAACAAGATCACATCGGCATCGATTGTTTTTTGCGAGATGAAAGGCAAGATCCTTTCACCTCTGTGACCACAGTTCGGCTCAGAGGCGACAAGATAGGGACAAAGGTCAGAACACAAACAGGTCGGGACTTCTGGAGTTCGGCTTTCAAGGCATTGAGGCTTTGCGGTGATGAAAGTTGCCAAGGTCCCAAGATGGCCCGCCTGACTCTGCTGCCGTTGGCACTGCTCCCAGGGAACATCCGTGGTGCATCGTCGTCTGAAGAAGCTGATCCTCAGCCCTCCTCCCTCAGGCTCTGTGCGCTGCCGTCCTGGTGCTCCTGCAGTCGGCCACCACTTTCGTCCAGGCTCCTGTGAAGCGTCACCGATACTGCGATAGTCACTGCCTTTCGCGCGCGCATGCATAGGCCCCAGCACGAACTGTGGAGGCAGGGCATACATGCGAAGTTTTCGCTAGCGGTTTTGAAAATCTGGCTTTGTCTTGCTTTGTCCAAGCAGGGCCCCCAGCACCAGCTGCGTGTGCTGGAGACTGCGGCTGTGTCAACAGGACTGACGCTCACAGGCGGCTGAGTGAGGGTGTTTGCTTGGGTGCCGTGAGCAGCGTCTTGTTGCGGATCCCAAATATCCCCAGCCAGTAGCCTCTTGTCGGGAGCCCTCCGTGAGGCTCCCTGCCGGCTCTGGCCACTTGGGGCGAGGGCTCCGAGGCCGGGCAGAACATCGACCCAGCCGCGGCCCGAGATTTCACCAAGCACAGCGCTGTGCAACGAAAGGGGGTGCCTGTTTGCTTAAAGAGGCCACACACAGACAGTTTGTCAGGCTGATATGCTTGCGTAACGCAGACGAAAGGTTCGCGAAGATATAGACTATATACAGGCCTGTGCAAAGGTTTACATGCACGTGTTGTGTAGTGATGTGTCGTTAGATGCTAGATTGGTTTGACTCTCAACCCCGAGCCCTCAATCCCAGAAGACCGGAACCCCAGATCTTTGTGTCTGCAAGGATTCCACGGAGGCCTACAACCGCAAGGTCAGCCCTGGGTGCCACAAAGGGAGCAGGAGCAAGGATGAGTTTAAGGTGTGTTCGAGACGTTTAGGAGGGATGAAGAGCGTAGGGCTTTAGGGTTTAAGGTTTAGGGTTAGGACTTCCATGATGAGTCTTCGTACAAGTATGCCAGCAGAGGACGTCGTGAGCAGCACAGTGGCTGAGCACAACAAGTACAACTCTAGTGCAGGAAAACGCATCAGACTAGAGCACCACGCATCAAAACAGGTCGCACGGGAATCCCTACAAAGGCACAAGATTGCAGAAGCCTGTAACATTCACGACACTTCGATGCTCGGTGACGGGACTGTGCTGTTAGTGCGGTTTTGGTCCAAGATGCATATATGCTTTGCAAGTAGCGACAGTATTAACGATGGGAGAATGACGAGCAAGCGCACTGGAAGTAAAGCGGACTTCTGGGAATAGCAGATGGTGGCAGTATGACCCAGGTACAAGCATGAATCACACACTCACACGCGGCCTTCGAGCTGAGTGGGGGACCAAGGAACACAGCCTTCCTGCAACCGCATGACAAAGCCGACTACCAAGCAAAACAGCACACCGCCTCACTGGTCATTTGCCAGTTCTAGCATTTCTTGGATCCGTCGCTCTGGGGCTTGTCCGAGCTTACGCTTCGCACCGCTCGCGACAAGGGCTCGTTCCAGTGACTCAAACACAGTAAGTTTGAACCATTCACTACCGCAAACCAAGTGCAACTTCACCTGCTGTTTTTCCCATCGCTTACCAGAGCGAGCAACATGAACATGCACCGCAGTGGAGTTCGGGTAGGAGCCAGGCTTCGTGATGCTGTCAAATTCTCTTTGAGAATGTCCGCATCCTCCTTGGTACGTAATTACGCGAAGAAACCTGGTCAGTAGATAGTGCAACAAAGCAGTAATTGTGGCCACGGTGGCAGCAGTCGTCGTAGTAGGACTTCGAGGATTACAAGTCGGACTCGTGGCAGCAGTAGTGGTAGGAGTTGTGGTGGTGAGAGGAGTAGTAGTAGTAGT